TCTTTATTTTGCTTGTGGATAGCTTTCTTAGACACATCTTGAAGAACTAAATAACTGCTAAAGTTCTTCATGATCTACCTATAACTGAATCACACCTAATTCCTGATTGTTGTTGGCCACTTCATGCGGACAATCATACTTGGTGTTTTATTCATCATGAAGCCTTACTCATTCAAATGGTTTTGTAATGCTTTTGTATTTGATTTTCACTTGTTTGCACTGATAAATTAATCTTTCACTTGTATGTTAATATTCACTCGAATGCATCCAAATGTGTCACCCTGTTATATTCATTGCATGCAAAACCTTTCTGGTTTCAATTAACACGTTGGTTGCGGTATGAGTCTCTTGCAGTGTCATTAAACCCCTCTGCTTACAGGAGATTGATGTGTTTGATTGGTGGACCGTTGCATTTACTTGTGTGTCTTCTAGTATTAGTAAGGACTGCCACACATATCCACCAGATAGCCAACCTCAGTAGTAGGGGCTTCCCTATGACTTGTATAAACCTTTATACATTGACTTCCATTATTTGCATACATTTTGTAATACCATTTCGAGACTTTGCATATTTGTTTGAAATCAAATCTCCTCTTATTTTATTGCTTGCAAAGTTGAATATAGTTGCTTGTAGTTCGATGTTGATTGTAGGCAAAAAGTTGAATATGTCACGGTTCTTCTATCGATGTCTTTGGAGAGTTCATCGAATCCATTATACAATCATTGTATATTCTTTATGTTTCCTTCATGAATACATCGGGATGTTCATTACAACCACCACACCCCTTTCCAAAAGCATGATTGTCGTTGTATTTGCCACCATCTTCTTGTCACTTGCAAATGAGTTGAACGTGCAGGTTCTTTGTCTCCAAAGATGGTTCATAACATGTATAATAAGCTTCACATTCATCATTTATTTGATATTCATTCCTTATCTAGCATGAAGACTTTCATCACTTGTGGGAAACTTTAGATGTAGGCATATTGCCATATCGCTCACTTTGGTTGAATAATTTGAATCGCTTTAGTTTATTATTCCTTGTTCATGAGATAACTTTCATTTGAATGGTTGGACTCCTGTTGACTTAAGATTTGCATTTTTTTTTTTTGTATCTCCTTCGAGTATAATTGTTGTTGATGATAGGGATGTAGAAGTTTCTTTGCCCACCACGAATCTATGTTTTCATCTCAATGTTCTTTCAAATGCGTTTGAAAAATTAAAGTTATCACTTGATTTTGATGTTCATTAGAAAGATCTATGTCTTTAGATTGGTGTTGATTTGATTGAGTACTTGCTAAATTAAAGTCCCGTTCCATGTGATTCATTTTCAAGTTCAACTTTGTTGTCAAATTTGTTTTATTCATCCATGTGATTCATTTTCAAGTTCAACCAAGATGAAAGGAAATATGGAGGGATGAAGAGAGAAAAACCAAGATGAAAGGAAATATGGAGGGATGAAGAGATAAAAAGAAAAATGGGGAAGAGGAAGAAGAGGGAAGGAAGAAGAAGAAGAGGAAGAGAAGAATAATGGAGGAAGAAGAAGAAAAGAGAGGAAGAAGGAGAGATTTACCTTGCTTGGAGAGCTTGGCGTGAAGAAGAGCGTGAGATGAGAGGGGGAATCGTGGATTTGGCGGTTTGGAGAGTGAGGAGGGCTATGAGGTTAAGTGGGGATATATTAGGGATTTTTTATTTTAAAAAAAAAAAACTTTTTTTATTTAAAAGCTCTCTTTCTCTCTCTTTTTTCTAAAATTTTTTAATTAAATTGCACAATAAAAATAATTTTTTTTAATCTAGCATCGAGTTTTTTTTTTTTGCCACATCGCCGCTCGCATACGTCGTCGCATCGATTCGCGCGCCCAAAATTTAAATTTTCACCGACCGGCGACCCTCATCAATATGGGTGTCGATCTTAGATGTTTTCGTTGCTCCGGACGCATCGGCGCTGTCCGTTTCGCGAACGGAGGTCATTTCGGCAATTTTGAGTTTTTTTTGTCGACTCGCGTCGGGTGAGTTTTTGCGCGATTTCGAGCTCTTTCACTTTTGAAACCCACCTTGCGCTGTCAACTCGATCCCGACACTAGTATTAGGGTCAACATCATATAATCCTTAGGTACTCTCAAATTAAAAATTTATATAAATATTATGATCTCCTTATCAAACATTTATACACATCAACTATCATTACATATCTTGAGAATACCCATTTCTTTCTTCCCACGAACTCTAGATCATCACTATTTTTTCCACTTTCTCATGTCGTTTCGCTCTCCTGACCTTTCCTCTAAAAATCATGTCGTTTCGCTCTCCTGACCTTTCCTCTAAAAAATGTACAACTGAAAACCTCAACCAACTCCTATAAATATTATGATCTCCTTATCACATCAAACATTTGTCACATCAGCTACCATTACATATCTTGAGAATACCTCTTTCTTTCTTAGCACGGCCTCTAGATCATCACTATTTGTTCCACTTTCTCATGTTGTTTCGCTCCTTGCCTTTCCTATAAAAATGTACTCTTAAAAGCCTCAACCAACTCCTATAAATAATAAACTTACTATCATCACATCTACTTATATTAAAGACTTCTCTGATATATTTCCTTTAAAGTCACGCCTCCCAATTGTGTTATGATGAGGTGAATGATAAATTACTTATCATCCTATTAGTCTTCATAACCTATGACCATTATCTCCAGCCTATTGTTGTTTTGCATGTCTTTATTGGATGCCAATATTCTCAAGACATACCTAGTGCTATCACATTCAATGGAAACAGGTTATGAATGTTGAAATGGATACCCTTTATAATTAAAAACATGGGAATTAGTTGTCCCTCCCTTTCTGGTGAAGTCAATTGTTTGTCAATGAGTTTTCACCAAGAAGTTTTATCTTAGCAACTTCACTGATTGGTATACAGCTCAATTAGTTGCCAAAGATTTAGCTCGAACCAATGAGATAGATCATTTTGATAATTTCTTTTTGATAACCAGGCTCAACTCTATCAATATTTTAATCTTTATAGCTATAAATCAAGGTTAGCCCATGTTGCAAATGGATGTTAGTACACATTTATTTATGATGATCTGAATGAGGCAGAAAATATGGAGCAATATCCTGGAAACAATAGGCTAAATTGTGCTAGTAATTTGTGTAGATGAAATATTGCTTACTAGGAGTGATATAGAAGGCGTGTCTAAAGTAAAGCACTACTTACAAATTAATTTTGGAACCAAAGATCTATGGTGCCCTGAATGCCTTCTTGGAATTAAATTAGCTTACAACAAGAAATGGGTCTCTTTGTCTGAAAAAAATATATGATCTCTATTATGGTGCAAATCAGCTGACACTTCCATATATAACCAAATCATATAAGATGAGAATGTTATGATGAAAATCTCTGGATCAAACATTAGTTGGAAATTAATTTACCGGAGAACTATGTGGTCGAATAACTCTTTTTATTGTTGGGGTCATAAGTAAACATATGTAAAACTAAAACTAAAAGCATTGGGTTGTTGTTCTTCATACTATTAGATACATCAAGAAGGCTCCTTAAAAAAGGGTTGATGTAAAACAGGACTTGGCGCTTAAATATTACAGCATTCATTGATGCCAAACAACATTAGCTTTGTTGATGGAAAAAAAGTCATATCTTGTTTATTATATTTTGGTGGGCGGTAATCTGATCAACTAGAAGGCTAAAAATCAAGTTCATAGCTAGATTCAGTGCTAAAGTGGAATATAAAGCCATGGCTCGTCCTAGATGTGAATGATATGGGCCAAAAATATATTAGAAGAATTTGGTTTTCTAGTTAGTTATGGTTATGTATTGAGATAATAGTGCAGCCATATGCATTGCCAATAATCATGTATATTATAACAGATCTGAAGTTCTGAACATATTGATTGATAATATCCCCATCAATTTCACCATCATTTTGAACAATAGATCCAAGCTATCTAAAACATGTACTCTTATTAATGACTTGATCGCCCAAAGTCACAATCCCATCACTAGGTCTATTGCTACTAAAATTACACTCCATTATTAAAGCACTTGGGGTCCTCTCTCATTTTCTCACTCACATGACAAGCTGAAACTAACAAATAAATATGCTCTAACTTAACGGAGAGTATTAATGTATGATGTCTAGTCGAAATAATATTAGGATACCATTATACTGAGAGAGTATATAATTTAGTAAATTTCCATTTTTTCTTCGTTAATTATATTTTTTCTTTCATTTTTTTTATTCCTAATATAATCATCATATATGCCAATAAAAAAGTGTCATTGTTCAATGAATAATATCATCCAATACTTTCTCCATAACAAAAGTTCCAAAATCATCATCTTTGTACGTCTGAAGATTATAATATTAAGAGCTTATTTTGTAAGTCGATATTTAACAACTATAAGCCAATAGTGTTTCACAAGTATTCTGGTGGTTATGGCTTTTTCAGTGCGCCTGGGTGGTCAAATACAGAAAGAACACAGGAGAAAGTCCTTTTTAGTAACCTACTCCAAATGAGTAAAGGAATAGTCTTGCGGTTATTAGGAAAATTTTGATTTGCAGTTGAAGTTCTGAAAATCAGGGAGGTTCAAATGTGAGAACTCAACTTCAAAACTCTTAAAGCCACTCATGCAAATTAGCTATATATAGATGTTCCATCAACGGTGAAAATTTTTCAAAGTTTTCCAATGAAACAAAAGTATCAATGAGTTTAAAAGCAGTTACATAAAAAGAAGAACGTCTAACTCATGTCCAAGGTCTCTATTTCCTTCTCTTCATTCTAAATAAACTGGGCATATAATATAAAGGCAACATATGAATCATGATTTATTTCAAAAAATGAAAAAGCAACGGAAGATGGGATAATGAACATGCTCAGTGGTCAATATCCAACAATATACTATTATTATCATCAAAACACAGAGCATTAGCACCAAGATTAACAAGATCTATGACTGGTTACAGTGAAAATGACAGGTTTACCTGTATGAACTTCTGAGTTTGCAGCAGCTGTTGCATCAACAATAACAGAAACAGGTTGGTAGTTTGATGCGACAGCATCAAAGACAGTTTGACGTATGCAATTTGGTGTTTGAACTCCTGAACAAAACAAAAATTGACAATTTAATGCCTAGAATCAGTTACACATGCATATAATATGAAGTCCAACACAACATGGACGAAAATTTCATTCAATATTTTATTTTCCCAGAAAAAAAAAATACGAAAATCATATCCCAGCTACAGTTTTATTTCAGTCTACAAGTTCTACCATGCCTCTTGCAAACTTTTGTTCAAAATTTGTGAAGGTAATTATAACACTTCCTACAGAAATACGGGTAGGGTTCTACATTGTTAAAAATAGTTCTTTCACCGACATAAATGGCCTTTAGAGCAGATCATCTAGCATGGTGAAAAGACCAGTATATCCTCTCTCTATTAACCAGATACTTACCAACAACAACTAAGCTCTTGATTCCAGAGCTTTGAAGGAGAGAATTCAAGTGAGTGTCAAAGAATGCACTAAACCGTGTCTTCACTAATTTATATTCCCCTTCTAAAGGCACAAGCCCTTCCACTAATTCAGCGCCCTTCGAATCTTTCATGGTAGGTCCTTTGCCATTAACATATAGATGCCTCCGGAACAACTCAACATCTCTCCCGCAGGGGTCATGTTCCCTGACAACCTAAATTGAAGATCAATAAAATTAAGCAAGGAATTACCCAAACGTTATTCCAAACAATTCACTAACAAATTTATAAAATTAAGATATAAACCAAAAACAAGAGTTTGCTTATATTCAATATACTCATCAGTTGCATCAACTTTATCAAAGAAGTAACAAAATGAGGCAAAAGCATAGAACGCTGTTAATATATGCTCATGACAGAAACACTTTAGTCTTTAGCATTATTAGCTGCTATATTCATGAGCAACCTAGCAAAAGAAATTACTATAAATGTCATCTTATCATCTTATTGGTGTTAAAAGGATCATGCAACTTAAAATATAACAACCCTTGAACAAATAGACAAACAAGAAGTGATAAAAGTTACTAAATTAAACTACCTTACTAGGAAAAACCATGGCAAAAAGCACTTTTGGCTTTCAGTTTTAACTGTAGTCTTTGATCAACTCTTGGCAATCCCAGTTTCAGTTCTCTTTGAAGAAGTTCAATTCATCCAGCCCAATAGAAATTTCTAAATCCTTATGCCATTCCTTATCATAATACAAACAAAATTAATGTATTGCTTGCATTCCAAAGTTTGCTCTTGGAAAAACCTTGATGACTCAATTTGGAAAAGAATTGCGTAGAAATACTGAAGTAGTGCACAAACTCCTCGAGGTGACACTAGCACGCCATGTGGCACATGATATTAACCAAAGTTTTGAATTTAAATTCTAATCACTTATTCAACCTTATTTAAAGATATTAGTTACGTTATTTGACTTCTCATTTCATTTTAAAGCAGTTAGATCATACTCCCAAAATTCTCGAACTCTGACCATTTGACATACAGTCAAATCCACAGATTCAAGATACAAAACTGATGCATGCAAAATTTCAATTTTTTTTTAGTTTTTTTTTTAACTATTGCAATTTGAATGTTATATTTATTTTTTGTTTTTATTTTCTACCTTATAATGGAAGGCAACCTATGATCATAAGTAGGTTGTGCTCTTGGACATGTTTTACCTTGGGTGTGCTAGTTTCTTTGGTGCCTTGGCTTTGGGCTGATTTGGTTCTTGGGTTTGGGCTTGGTTGTCTCGGGTTAAGCTGCCCCTTTGGTGAGCTGCTGTGTTCTGCTTCTCAATTCAGCTCATTAAGAAGTTCAGCTGCCTTTTTAGCTCATATTTCCTGCTGTCCGGGTTCTTCCCCTCTCTGTTTGGCCTTTCAGTTTCTCCACCTGGCGCCTGTTCCCGTGGCTAGCTGTTTCTATTCCAGCGTGGTCCCTTCGGGTGCTTCTCTTGGCGTTGTCTGTTGACCTTTTGTCTCCCTTTTTCTGGTTGGTTCAGCAGGTGGTTGTTGGGGCTATTTGGCTTCCTCTTTTCTCCTATAAATATGGGTTGTTTTGAAGCATTTAGAGGTTGTTTGCTGGTGAGAAAAGAAATCTAAGAACTTGAGGGTTTCTTCTTGGGAAAGCTTGCGAGCTTCTTCCACTTCCCTTCTCCTCTCTTTGATTTGGTCTTGAGCTTCTTTCCTATTTCTTCTCTCCACAAGTTTTCACTCCACTTATATCTTTCTTCTCAAGCTCTTGAAGGTGTTGGTTGGCCGGTTTGGTAGCATTTGTCGGAGGAGTTTTGTGGTGGACATTGGCCCAAAGTTGCTATGGTGGACCCTTGGTTTGCAAGTCCTTAAGCACTTCTTTTATTTTAACTACTATTTCGTTGCATGTAATGTAACCACTAGTTGGTTGTTCTGAGGGTCGCTTGTTTTATTTTTATTTTACTTTCGTTTTGTCTAACGTTTGTTTGTTTCAAGTGGTCTTTGGTGTTTGCCTACTTTAAGTTAAATTGAGAAAAGTTCTACTAACCATTGTGTTCTCCTTTTGGTTTTTTCTATCTAGTTGTCTGCATCAAAAACTGATCCCAACAACCGCACCGCCTTCATCTGCACTATATAATCAAAACCATTAATATCGGCATGGCCCTCCATAGCCCTGAATTCAATTTCATAGCCTCTCGTCACACCACCGCCTTCGCCAACCTCGTCCAGATTCAATCAGGAATGTAACCTCTAGAATCATTGCTTTTTGTAGGGAAAACTCCATTTTTCAAACTAGCCATATTCAAAGTAATGAAATAATATGTTTTAACCTTAGTCGATCTCAACAATCCTTGCAAGACAAGATAAATCACTAGTAATGTCCATCAAAACTGGAGCTATCAAGAGCATGCCGTGATGCAGAATGGGAAGAAGAATAAAGATTAAAGGAAAGGAGAAGGAAAGCATAGAAGGAGAAGAGAAACAATGAGAAGAATAGGAAGAGGGACAAAAAGAAATGGGAGAGAGACCAATGAATCAATATTTAATTTTGTTAAATCTCAACCTTCCGTTGTGAAACCGATCCCACAACTATGAACAGTGATCTGTGGGAAGCCCGCCTGGATCACGTTGAATACCTTCCATAACTAGACAATTGGTTTATGAAGGAATTTATTTCAGCAATCATTCAGTAGTTATTTGTTTCCTCATTAGACCTTGTATATATCTATAAATAGGAAGTATTTTGTATAACAAAGAAAGCTTTTCCCTCTCAAGTTCCCAATTTTAACATGGTATAAGAGCCAACGACCTTCATTGCCGTGGAAGAAAGATCGCCGAAGGAGAAAAAAGAAGAAGACAGTAAATCGGAAGCCGCTTGCGGGAAGAGGACTTACCGGAGCCTAGCGAGAGACGAACCCAAAGCCTCGATGCAAGAAGGGGCGCTCGACTCTCAGCCACCCTAGCCGTATCTCTCGGTCGAGCTCAGGTAGAAGCCGCTCGTGAGAAGACGGTTGAAGACGGCGCTCGGACGCTCCTTCTCCAGTCTTCCTGTCTCGCTCGGATACACCGGACGGACGAAGTTGTGCCAAAGACGAACCTTGCGGACGGATCCCTTGAGGACGAATGGAGTGTAAAACCCGAAATCAACGTTAATAGGCCTCGCATGCATTTCGATGCGCTGCGACGAGATTTAAGTGAAAATTTAAAGTTAACGGATTTCGACGGAAATAATTTTATAAAATTCTACGCAAAATTTTAAACAATTTGGTATATAAAACTTATATATAAAGGGGCCTACCTGAGACTTGTAGGAAATTTGATCTACCTCTCCCACACTAGACCAGATATAGCATTTCCTATAAGCATGGTCAGTTAGTTTATGCAGAATCCAAAGCAGATTCACATGAAAGCGGTAGACAGGATATTGCACTACCTTAAAGGAAAACCAGGAAAAGGGATTCTCTATAAGAGAGATCGCGGAATAAACCTAGAAGTAGACAAAGATGCTGACTACGCAGGATCATCGGTTGAAAGAAGATCTACCTCTGGATACTGCACATTTCTTGGAGGTAACTTAGTTACATGGAGAAGCAAGAAACATAATGTGGTCGCAAGATCTAGTGCAGAAACATAATATCGAGCTATTGCCTTGAGAATATGTGAGTTACTATGGATCAAAATAATCTTAGAAGACTTAAAGGTCAAGTGGGATTAGTCCATGAGGCTATATTGTGATAATAAATCAGCATAGCCCACAATGCAGCCCAGCATGACAGGACCAAGCAAATAGAAGTGGACAAACATTTTATTAAAGAAAAACTAGACAATGGTCTAGTAAATGTCGATCATGTATCATCAAAAGATCGACCTGCAGACATCCTTACCAAAGGATTGGACAGTTCTTCCTTTCTCAGAATGATTGCCAAGCTGGGAATGACAGATCTATATTCTCCAGCTTGAGGGGGAGTGTTAAATCTCAGCCTTCCGTTGCGAAACCGATCCCACGACTATGAACAGTAATCTGTGGGAAGCCCGCCTGGATCACGTTGAATACCTTCCATAACTAGACAGTTGGTTGATGAAGGAATTTATTTCAACAATTACTCTGTAATTATTTGTTTCCTCATTAGACCTTGTATAGATCTATAAATAGGGAGTATTTTGTATAATAAAGAAAGTTTTTCCCTCTCAAGTTCCCGTTTTTAACAAATTGAATAATCAAGTTTATTTTCAACGCAAGGCCATTAACATTTTTATAAATTTAAAGCTTATAATACTTTCCTAAGATGCATAAATTATTAAGCATGAGAATAGTATGCCCTTATATATAGATATATATACATAAACATGTCAAAACTAAATGAATACATGCCTATAACAAACATGGAAAGACTTCAAAGAGTTGGAAGTTGTCCATGGTAGTGGAGGAGGTGAAACTAGTTCATGCATAACTTTATAATATCATGAGAAGATGCAAGTAGCTCAAGGCAAACCTCTGGAGGTTTTGGAGAATGAAGGTGAATAAGGTAAAACCTCCATCCTGGCAATAAAGTGTTCACAACTCATATTATAGTTGATGTTAGAACAAATTTAATGGCAAGCTTAGTAAGAATAACCAAAGAATTATGACAAGTGCAAGTAGTGGGAATTACCATTGTGTGAAATGAGGGATATTAGATTGGAATAGTTCGCATTGGTGAAAGATGATGCACAAAAAGATGAAATCAATTTTGACTTTGATGACATTAAAGTGGTTCTAGTAACGACAATCTTTGTATGTACTGCAGAGGCTCAATCTCAAGTGCAACAATCAATTTTGAAGATTATGGCAAAGTTCAGATCTCAATCAATTGGTCAACTTCAAGCTGATCATTATCATCATGCATCTTGATACACTAATTTAATTTTTGAACTTGTGTTTGTGGGAGTGTCTACTTAGGAATAGTGTTTCAGGGGTAGCAATCAAATATATAGGTTTTTAAAAGTTGGTGTTTTGATTAAAGTAAAAAAATGCAGAGTAGTAGTTAGATTAACCCTCTAGTTCAATTTTGATGTATTTGAAAATCGTTATATATACATTGTAAATTGTTTATCATTATTGCAGCAGTCACCCCCTCGCCGCGTTTCCACTGCCAATTGCCCTCGATCCGGCCGATAGTTGCAAGCCACCGACCATCATTATCATTGGGATTTACATT